ATTTGTGTTAGCCTTCCTAACAGGCGTCCCTGACTGTCAGGAAACCCATTTTCTGGAAATGAATAGCAGAGAATATTCTTTGCGCCGCAGTAAGACAAAGGTGAGGGTCTCACTGCTTCTCCATCCAATTTCTTTGGGTGACTTATGACCAACCGTTATGAACGACCAACCGTAACCAGAAAACAAGGACAGAAGAGACCCGGTGGACCAAACTCTCTACTTTCCATCCCTCTTCCTATTGCTTTCCACCATCCACCTTTCCTGAAATCCCTTTGGGAGCAACGCCAGAGAGCACAGATCTGCTCCCGACCGAGGCTCTCGGCAATGAAGAAAAAGACGCAATGAGATCATCCGAGAACAGACCAGGCTTGCTTTGTGCGTCATCTTCCTCCAGACAAAGCTCTGGAGGAGACCGTGGGATGGTTAGGTAAGGAGTGAGCTCAGTCCCCTCCGGCTGCATGCCTTCGAGTCATTTCCGACTTATGGTGACCCTAAAGAGATCCTATTATGGGGCAAATATCTTCATAGGGGGTTTGCTGTGGCCATCCTCCGAGGCTGAGAGAGTGGGACTTGGTCACCCAGTGGTTTTCCACGGCCAAGCCAGGATCCCTTCCACCTCCCCAAAAACATACCCACAAATGGGACCTCTCTCACCTTCTGGGCTTGGAAGATCATCTTCCGGACAACCTCCTTGATGTGAGGCTGATAGTCAATAGGGGGCTGCATGTAGACGGTGGCCCGGGTCACCCCACGGTAAGCGATGGTCTCCGGCCACCCTAAGTCCAGTTGCGGGATGGATCGGTCAGACTTCTCCGGCCAATACTCCAGAGAAGGCACCGGTGGTCCCGGTTCCCCATCTCGGCTGTTGAGGTCGAGACGTTCCTCTCCGTGGCGCATATATTCCGAACTGGGGTCGTACGTTTCCAAGTTATCCAAGATCTTTTTGAGTTCCAACTCGGACAAGAAGTCCCGGATGTTCTCTTTCTTGAGGACCTGGTAATAGGCCTCCGGACCTTTGGACACCAAAGCTTCCAGCGCCAACCTCTGCTCTTCGCTGTAGAAGAATTCGGGTTTGGATTCGCTCGACCGCCAGTTGACATGACTGTCATCCAAGCATTGGACTTGAGAAAAAGCCATGGCTGTCTCGAGTTATTATATATATAATAATATATATACAATATATATATACACAGAAAGAAAAGAGTGTCCACCAATAATAAATTAAAAAAAAATAGTGAGCAATGGAAAGAAATAATTTATAGAGTATCCCTGAGTCAAGGCTTCTACTTGAGCTTTTTGGCGATCCCTTGTCAACACTTTTCCTTGTTTCGATCCTTGCAAAATAAAAATGTGAATCAGATTCTGCCAACTCTTTAAAAAATGGCGCAACGTGTCTCTCGGTTTATTTGTCACCTCATCTCCGTGTTAATAAAAAAGCAAAGCCGGGATGAAAAAATATGTTTGCGGAGTTTAATTTTTCACTTACTTTCTCTGAATTTTCGCGAATGGCCAAGAAGCGAAGGACAGGGGCATCCAGAGGCACCCCTGTGAAATTTCGCGTTAAAAATCCCAGCGTTCTGCAATCCTTTTCCGCCAACCGTCCGACGGCACGCGTTGCCTTGCGCCTCTACCTTTTCCTTTCAAAATCTCCATAAGAAAACAATAAATGCATTATAGAACCTGCCGGAACGGAGGAGAACCGGAGCAGATGGAACCGAGACTTTTGCTCTTCTGTGGTTTATGTGTGCATGTGGTTTTCCAAATTTCCAAACAGGGTTCAAGGGAGGACAGTGTTTATTCTTTCCTTTGCTGAGTCTGGTTTGTTCTTCTGGAATTTTGCAAAAAACAAAAATCCTGTCTGGTGCTGCTCCCGTAGAGCTGGATTCCTCGGAGGATATTTTTGCCGGTTCCCTGCCAGAAATGCAATGGAGAAAGAGTGCGAGCGAAGGAGGGAAGGTGAAAAAAAAGAGAGAGAGAGAAGGAACAAGCTCTGGGTCATAATTCGCTCCTCCCTGTCCTACCTGCAGTCACATGCTCTGGCCCGCCTTTGGCAAGGCCTGTCCCTACCTGTCCCATTAACTCCTTCGGTTTGCAGAAAGCAAAAGCAATGCACCCGTGCTTTTGTCTGCATAGTTTGTGGATATGTGGCAAACAGGCGTGGAAGGCAGGAAATTGACTCATCCATCCCTGGGAGGCCGGGTCTCGAGGCGTCCGCCTCATGCCCAGGACGGGAGGGAGTTCTAGTGGGTCCAGCTGGACCGAGGGTTGCCAGGTGAAGAGCGTGCGCCTGGGTGTGTTGTGCAATTGTGTTTGCACCACTGAGATGACACCGGAGTTGGGACTCTTGTTTGATCCTCTCCTCCGCGCCTTTGGCACCCGGGTCATGTTTGCTTTAGGAAGATAGGCAAAAAGTTTATCAGACTTGTTGGTTTAGGTGTTGAGTCCTGTTGGGGGCAAAAGGGCTGACTCTGTTGTAACTGGAGGCTTCGAAAAGTTTGGGAAAACTACATCTACTGGACCAGGCGGGCAGAAGGGAAATCGTCTAGTACATCTAACGCAGATTGGGAATTAATAAAGAAATACAGTCGGCCCGCCGTTTTTGTGGGGGATCCGTTCTGGGTCCCCCCGCGAAAACGGAGACTCGCCGATATTGAAGCCCCATGGGCTTGAATGGGGCATACCCACACAGGTGCGCACCCCATTGGTCTTAATGGAGGTCGCTCCTCCGCGAATGTTCAAAACCGCGGATCTCAAGTCCGTGAGAGAGGAGGGGCGACCGTACCATAAAAGAAGGCGATCCTAAAAGTTAGATATCTTTAATACATCATGCAGAGTGCATTAATGTCCTGAAGCAGTTCAAAGCACTCATCAAGCTATATATATATATATATATATATATAGATGACTGATGTAGCAGAAAAATAAATACACAACAACAAGGAGTTGTATAGCAGGCTTTGTTAGTGTTTCACCAACCAAAACAGACAAATGGAAGTTAATTTGTTTATTCATTCATGTTGATACATAGGGCTGCGAAAGTATATGACACAAAAGAAAGTAAATATAGGAAATGGAAGCATTCCTATAACATGATACTGTAAAATAACCCTATGTTAATTTTATTATGTAACCTGTATTAATTTAATAAACAGCTTTTTTAAATAAATAAATAAATAAATAACGTCTACCAGGATCCAACTATATACGAATATAGGAAAAGTAACTTTTTGGAAGGCTATCCTTGGAATCAGCATTTCCAATAGGGATTGCAAATCTCCCCGAAAAGAGGAATTTTTGCATGTTCTGTTAGTTGGTATAAATCTGCAGGCTGGCATGGGGAAAGTTACTTTTTAAAAACTACAACTCCCAGAATGCCTCCCATGGCTAATAGAAGTTGCAGTTGTATGACGGAGCCATGGCATTTAAAGCACTTTAACTTCCACGGCTCCATCCTATGGAGTCCTGGGATTTGTAGTTTGTTGTGGCACCAGAGCTCTCTGGCAGGGAAGAACGTCACACCAAACTACAAATCCCAGAATTCCGTGCCATTGAGCCATGGAAGTTAGAGTGGCATCAAACTGATTTATTCCTGCAGTGCGGAGGCAGCCTCCTACTCTGATTGATTTACATTATGATGGTTATGAATTAATGGCACCGAGAATCCTTTGCCTGGGAGCAATGCAAGAAATCTGGAGCCAGATATTTTCCAACTCCACCCATTAAATTGCCTTGGCTCTTCTTTTCTTTTGACTTTCATAAATAAAAAGATCAGGCCCCACAGGACTGCCTAGCCCAGCATCCTCTTTTGCCACACACTGACCCTCCATGTCAGCCTTTCTTCATTATTTAAAGCTAGACTGCCTTTGAATATGGAGGCTCCACTGGAATATCACTTTAATCCAGAGCTTGACAAAGGCTTTGTTCCCACTCCCTCTTTTGGATTGCAAATCCCAGAATCCCCCATTAGCTGGATGTCATTTAGGCAACAACTTTTATGTTTGTGTTGGCTTGGATTTGCAGGTATATTGCTTTTAAACATGGAAGTTCCAGTTTAAGGCATAATTTGGGAATGTTAACTATTTTGGAACTACACATCCCAGAATCCCCCAGCCAGTATGGTTGCTGGTTTGATGGTTTGATGTGATAAGCCATTCTAGGTTTGTTTGGGTCTTTTTGTATTTAGAGACAGACTGACTTGGAAGATGGAGGTTCCACTTAATAATCAATTTAATGCAAAACTTGGAAATGTTCAGTATTTAGAGACAGATTGACTTGGAAGATGGAGGTGCAATCTGTCTCTAAATACGTAACATTTCCAAGTTTTGCATTAAATTGATTATTAATTGGAGCCTCTGTCTTCCAAGTCAGTCTGTCTCTAAATACAAAAAGACCCAAACAAACATCGGACGACTTATCACATCAAACCAGAAGCCATGCTGGCTGGGGGATTCTGGGATGTGTAGTTCCAAAAAAGCTAACATTCCCAAATTGTGCCTTAAAGGGATGGTTAAGTGGAACTTCCATATTTAAGAGCAATGTACCTGCAAATCCAAGTAAACATAAACATAAAAGTTGTTGCTGTGCTATGTAAAGTGCTGTGCAATTTTTACGGCACTCTATAAATAAATGTTAATAATAATAATATTAATAATAATAATAAATAGACCCAGGATAAAGTAGAATAAAACCTTGCATGCCTTGAATGGACTTTGAAAACATTGGCATTATCGGCTCCATCTTTATTTGAGCGCTGGCATGTGTGAGCGACCGAACTTGCAGAGATGCGCATGGATGCGGTTGCGTAGTGCGCACAATAAACCCGGAACGCGTGAGTGAGATTATTTGCACAGTTGTGCCAAAAAACAACCATATTTGAATGACCATATTCTCCTTTCCTTTTGTTGGTTTCAGACGATGTCGGCTGCGTCGACCCCGCGGAGTGCGTCCGGATCTGTGGGTCCGAAGTGGGCTGCTCCAACATCGCTTACCCCAAACTGGTGATGGACCTCGTGCCCAGCGGTAAGTCGGACCACCAGTTTGGTGGGATATCTAGTCCTCCCAGTCCATCCTCCATGAACCCTTGCGGGGCTCCCTCTTTCTTTCCAATTGTGTTCCTTTGTCTTGGCAGCCAAAGCATCAGATTACATGAGGTTTCCATGAATTTATGCCAAAAATGAATAGGTTAAATTGTCTGTAATGCTTCTTTATCTTGGGTGCATCTGCACAGTAGAAATGACGCAAATCGACACTGCTTTAACAGCCATGGCTCCATCCTATGCAATCCTTGGGATGCGTAGTTTGCTGTGGCACCAGATAGGGAAGGCTAAATAAACATCCCCCCAAAATTCAAATCCCAGGGCTCCATGGCATTGAGGGTGCATCTGCACTGGAGAAACAATGCAATTTGACACCACTCAATGCTATGGAAACCTGGGATTTGCAGTTTTGTGGGGTATTTAGCCTTCTCGGTCATAGAGCTCTGGTGCCACAGCAAACTACACATCCCAGGACTACAGAGGATCTAGCCCTGGCAGTTAAAGTGGTGTCAAGTTGCATGATTTCTACAGCACAGATGCACCCAAAATAAAGACTTTTAAGAATAATTCTGTTTATTTTGGCATGAATTTTTATGGATTCCACTTCCTCAGAGGCATTACAGGAATACAGTAGGAGATATTTATCCACAATTGTCAAAGAGTGAAACAAAACAGGAAAATACAATTGTCAAAGAGTGTTTATAAGCTCTCAAAGGTCATATGAACCTTTTTTCGGCTGATTAAATCTGCTCTGAATGTCGCGGAGTCCCAGGAGAGAAAAATCTTTTTGGAAACAGAGGAGAGTGGCTTGGATCCATTCAATTGTATGGCTGGTTGGTTTAATGAATATTTATCTCACCTTTCCCGAATATTTCGAGGCAGCCACCCGCAATGTCAAAATGCAACAACGCCGGTTAAAGTCAACCGGAGACAATTAAAATGAGCCAAAAGCAACAGCGGCAGGTTTTTTAAAGGAAAGCCAAACAAGATGCAAAGCAGCGGCTAAAACAATACTGACATCTATAAAACTTCCAGACTTGCAACAGATTTTGAAGGTCAACAGCAATAAAAGTCACATATTGGAGCAAAATGCTTGGGAGAACCTGAGGAAAACCAGGATTTACCTTTGCCCAGTTCTTGCCCTCTTGCTATGTTTCATATATTTCCACATTTGAGGTAGCAAGTGATGGCTAGAGGGGTGAATCCGATTTGGGTTCTGGTCTGAACTTCAAAGGAGGTGTCCTAAGATGGTGGGACCTGTTTTGGGGATTGGATTCCACGCCTTGGCTGCATCCACATGGCAGAAATAAATCCAGTTTGACACCACTTGAACCGCCATGGCTCAGTGCTATAGGAATCCTGGGATTTGTCAGCTTTGAACATTGTTGATCAGTGGCCTTCTGTGGCTTTGCATGCCATCGTTGACCAGTGGTTTACTGTGGCTTTGCACATTGTCATTGACCGGTGGCCTTGTGTGGCTTTGCACGTTTGCTGACCAGTGACCTTCTGTGGCTTTGCGTATTGTCATTGACTGGTGGCCTTGTGTGGCTTTGCACATGGTCACTGACCACTGGCCTTCTGTGTCTTTGCATGCGGTTGCTAACCAGTGGTCTTCTGTAGCTTTGCACGTTATCATTGACCAGTGGCCTTGTGCGGCTTTGCATGTGGTCACTGACCAGTGGCCTTCTGTGTTTTTGCATGTGGTTGCTAACCAGTGGCTATCTGTGGCTTTGCATGTGGTCACTAACCAGTGGTCTTCTGTTGCTTTGCACAGGGGCGCTTACCGGTGGCCTTGTGTGTCTTTGCACATTGTTGTTGACCAGTGGCCGCCTTGGCTTTGTCTTCTCCAGGCCTGCGGGGGTTAATGATTGCGGTCATGATGGCGGCCCTGATGTCCTCCTTGACCTCCATCTTCAACAGCAGCAGTGCCCTTTTCACCATGGACATCTGGAGGAAGGTGCGGACAGGGGCCAGCGAGAAGGAACTCCTGCATGTCGGAAGGTACTAAGAATCAATCTAGAAGAAATGATGATTTCATTTAATGCATGAAAACAACAACAAGTGGCAGACACCACTGTCCGCTAGCTGAAAGCCCTTTGAGTGTCATTCAAGGGATTAAAATGTCTTTCTTTCTTTAAATCTTTATATCTCACTTTATATCCTAAGATCTCAGGGTGGCATGCAATTCAGAGTAATGGTAAACATTTAAAAAAAAGAAGTCGCTGCAAATTGAAAACGGTGCGGAATGCATTTAGCTGACGAAAAGCATAGTAAACATTTCCGCAAGTTAAAACTAGTGCAAGCCAGGCCCAGATTTGGATGAAATCATTCGGTTCCCCTTAAATCCACCTACCTTTGAGAGATGCTTTAAAATAAAGCAAATGCAATGCAATAAAATATCATGACGGAAGATGCAAGAGCATAATGTGTGATTAAAAGTGCTGGTGGAAAATGAAACATACCTGCATGTAATATCAGAAGCCAAGGAGGGAGTAAAAAATAAATAAATCCCATTATATAAATGCAAAAGAGGTGGAGGATCATGTAGATTGCACTGCTATTTATTTGGTATCATTCTTTTGTTGTTGTTTTCATGTGCCTTCAAATCACTTATAGTGGGGGTTTTCTTGGCAAGATTTGTTCGGAGGAGCTTTGCCCTGGCCTTCCTCTGAGGCTGAGAGAGTGTGACTTTCACCCAAGGTTTCATGGCCGAGTTGGGAATCGAACCCTGGTCTCAAGAGTCATAGTCCAACACTCAAACCTCTATGCCATACTGGCGCCTCATTATAAAAGCATGCTAATAATTAGCAATAATTCATGCTAAATAATAATAATGGATTTGCTTGAGCCAAGCAAGCAAGCAAGCTGGTTCCTTTCACTCAGCATCGCCAGATGTCCTAAACACCAAGGAGGACAAAATGTAGGACCTTCAAGAAAAGTGTAGGGCAGGACCCAACAACATCTTAGACATGTAAGTGCATGCTTCTTAGTCTTGCTCAAAAGGGAGGGCATTTTGACATTTCTCCTGGACAGGAGGCTGGAATGGAGGATCTGTCCTGGAAAAGGAGGACGTCTGGTCACCCTGGAGCATGGTGATGGGGAACACAGTGGCTCGGACTACTCTATGTTTGGTGCTTAGTTGTATATCTTTACTCTTTAGGATCTTGTCTAGTTCTTTCACGGCTGACCTTCCCATTCCTAGTTTTCTAACTTCTTGACTGCATTTCAGATCAATGTTTGATCCAAGGAATGGGAACTCTTTGACTATTTCGTGTCCTGGGAAAGGAGGACCTATGGTCACCCTGCCTTTTGAAATGGAGCAAAGAACCTCACCCTCGGTGCAAACTGTCCTCTCACTTTGCTTACGCCAGATGGACCAATGATTGATATTCCTAGGCTGGTTCTTCATCCATCCCACGGTCATTGAGAAAGCCTGCCAGGATGTTGTGATGTCACGGCCGCTCAGCCAATCAAAAGGCTGGCAGCTGGGTTTTTAAAACCCAGGGAATGTGTCTGTGCACACTTGCCCAAAGCACACTTGTCACGCAGCTGGTTTACGTAAGGCGCCGGCCGTTGCGCCATTGCGCCATGGGAGCCCTAGAGAGGCAATGCATGGCCTCCTCCCTTGACATGTCCACCCAGCCCAGCCTAGAAGGCATTTGGCATGGCAAGACACGCCTGACTTAATGGTTTTCTTCGTTTTCACGGCTTGGAGGTCATCCGTTGGCTCCTTGTTGCGATGGCAGAGGAATGAGAGGCAGTGAGAAAGAGAGAGAGAGCAAGCCAATTTTTGCAAAAAGGAGTGCAATTTTGCAGCGAAAGGAAGCTTGGAGGAAGAGGGCGAATCTAACTTTTGTGCATGGGATTTTGCAATGTTTTGGGAATTGTTTGTATTTTTGGCTGCGATTCAGGAATAAATCCAGGCTCAGTGCGGGTTTGAGGTTTTCTTTTTGGATTGCAAAGCACCGACGGTCTGAAAGGTTAAGAAATGCCGTCATTCTAATATTGCACAATTGCTTTCGTTGTTGTGTGCCTTCAGAGTCGTTTCTGACTTATGGTGACCCTAAGGTGAACCGATCGTGGGGTTTTCTCAGCAAGATTTCTTCAGAGTGGGAAAGCCACGGCTTTACTATGAGGCTGAGAAGGTGTGACTTTTCCAAGGTCACTCAGTGGGTTTCCATGGCTGAGCAGGGATTCGAACTCTGATCTCCTGGAGCCTTAGCCCAGTGCTCTAACCAACCACTACACCAGGGGTAGGCAACCTTTCCCCTTTAAGGGCCAAGGAGGGACTTCATCTCCCAGAATCCCAGGAGCTATTGGCCAACATGGGACTATTATAGGCCAACATGGCTGAGGCTTCTGGGAGCTGAAGTCCCTCGGCCCTTAAAGGGGAAAGGTTGCCTACCCCTGCACTACACCATGCTGACTATGTTATGTTATACTATATATTTGTTGTTTTTGTGTGCCTTCAAATCATTTCTGATTCATGGCAACCATGAGGCAAACCTATCACAGGGTTTTCTGGGGCTGAGAGTGTGTGACTTGC